ATCCCCATGACAGCTAGAGAACTTCAAATTTTTCTTTACCCCCTCCCCCTAACCGCTCTGTCAGATCGAATGCCCAAAAGATTGTGAAAGACTAAAAAACTCCGGAAAAACTTCCTCACTGTACTAGGAAAGATAGTGGTAAAGAAGATTGATCACAACAGTATTGAGGGCTATCAATAACAGTACCTGGCCACTTCCAATTGTAAACTATACCCTTATCATGCTATCGATCACTTTATCAGAATACAAAAACCGGTCGCAGTACTTGCAAAGGGAGAGTGAAGCAATTTAGTGCGAACGGACAGTCCTTGGTAGTCCAGAAATCCACCAGTTCTGCTAGTCAGGATTGAAAACGACTATGCGACCCAAGATGTACCCCTGGCCATCTTTGCGACACAAGGATACCGTTTCTTTTGAACTCTCCGGAGTAATCTCAAATTTTAGAGGAGTAACGGAAGTAGCAGCTCAGAATAGTAGCGAAGAAAGCAACGCGAAAATCGGCATGTTCAGAGAAGTATAGTATGAGGCTTTAAAAAAGCACTAAAATTCGGGGTTGGACGAGATTATGACGACAAAAGTAGATGGAAAGAGTACTTGGACGAGCTGCTCAAAGATGCGCGCCATTGCGTACTGTTGTCTACAGTAAGCTGCCTGCGTGCAACGTGTGCGCTCAGATGCGAATGGTGTAACCTCTACAGACTCCTCAGTGTCGTGAAAACTCGTCCTACTTCGGGTGTATACGTCGACTAAACCGGTTTTGAGGCTCTTATTACGCCCTATTTAGACCATTTTTTGACCCGACAACGTCTCTTGTGCTAGCCTTGGTGTCACAGATTTATCCCATGGAGAAACCTGAAAAACACTTCCATCGTGAACTAACAACGAGCCTTCAAATAGTTGGGGCCTATCGCTGAAATTCCAACTACCTGCTCCACCTGTCGTCTCACTGACCAACGATTTCCTCGAGCGTGCACCAGTAACGTCACCACTCGTCCAAGTTGACAATTACTCAAGTCCAATGGGCATTCCTCGCACAAGTAGATAAATGAACATTGCCCTTGCTAACTGCTTCCATGAGACCTTCTGACTTGTTCCCTCACCGATGTTGGTTAAACGTCCTGAGAATACAGCCAGAACCACTTTTCTAGGACCGTCATCAAAACAGGGCATGACGTCCGATCCTCCCGATTTCCGAGTCTCTGGTGCATGCGGCCATCAAACATTAGCTAGAATTGGCTTAGGAAACGTGCTGGTTCCCTTTTTGACCTCCTGAAACCTTGTTTTTGAAGTACGATTACGTTGACACTGAAAAAGCTGAACAAGGTCAAGAGTCAAAAAAGGAAGGAACTAGGCAACTAGGCAGGCGGAACAAATCTTGCAATTTTTTGGATTTATGCTACTAATTACCGACAGTGGTCGCGTTCAGACTTTGCGTGGGCACATTACACGATAGCCAATAGTAGTCGATCAATGGCTATNATTGGAACAACCCTAGGCATTAATGGGACCAGCATATATTCAATATTGCATGAACATTTGACTGTAAAAAAATTGTTTTTGAAAAATTTGCCAATCTCCCAAAAAAGGGACTCGTGTCGACTGGTCGAAAGAAATGATCAAAAAATACGATCGCGGTGCTTCGGAACACATCTATGTCATCGAGACAGGTGATGGATCATGGATTTATGCGCATGAGCCCGAAAGGAAACAGCAGTCGACCGTATGGGAATTTCAAGATAAGCCAAATCCAACAAAAGCTGTCCGCGCACCAAGCACTTCCGAGCAGTTGATCTCCTGTTTCTTTGGGAAAACTGAACATGTCGCAACCGCACCACTAGAACAAGCAGAACATTCAATTCTGAGTGGAATACAACCATTTGGTTGCCAGTTGACTTCCAAAAAATTAGGAAAATCAACTGCTGAAAACGGATCACTCTTGACCACGACAATGTGAGCTCCCACACATCGGCTCAAACAACTCATTTTTGAGCACTCAAAACAACGATTTGACAGGTCATCAGCCATGTAGTCCCCGAGTGACTTCTTCTTATCCCGAACGTAAAAAATAAAATGAGAGGTCAACGTTTTTCGACACCTGAAGAAGCCGTTGTTGCGTTCAGAATCCATGTTTTAGAGTTACCTACATCAGAGTGGCAAAAGTGCTTGGAAAATTGGTTCGAGCCCGTGCAAAAGTGTATAGATCTTAATGTGGAGAATTTTGAAAGGCAGTAAAGCGATTTTCAATAAATAGTATTTGTTTCTGTTTTCAAATCTCAAAATATAAAAGGCAACCTACGTACAACCAGTGGTAGGAATGGCACAGAGCGACTATGAGGAGTCGGAAATACTGGAAATACTGTAGAATGAGACCATTTGCACCCACCAATTCACTCAGGATCGCAGTCTGGCTACTGTACGGTGAGATACACGGATTCTGAGGAGTAGATTAGGGTTAAACGCTTTGTTCACCGGGAATGAACAACTGAAAGGCCCAACAAGGATGGCCAATGAAAAAGAAGAAATTGAAGAAACATCGAGAGAATCCATCTTGGTGAAGAACTAGAAGGCGACACATTTCCACCAGGCAACGAAAGAATGTGACTTACCAGCGATATCAACGGAATTTCGACAATGCATGGTTAACACACATGTGAAACCACGAAGGAACCGTTTTTGCAATTCTAATTGCTATGGGAATGCGTTAGGAAAATGGAGGATTGCTATTGGAGAATCATCAGCCTTTTTGTCGTTCTCTCAACCACCAAGTAACATATTGTCTGCGATGATTCTGGGGGAATGGCTATTAAAAGTTTGCATAACCTATCCACCCAAACAAGATGTGTAGCTTAGGTCAGGAGGATAGGAACAGGGCGTATTCGCTGCTTGCGATAGGTTTTTGCCACAGTATAGGTTACGGTTGATTTACTCAAACTCAGCTCTTGCCATACACAGCTCTTACCGGCTCTTACCGTTCGTCGCGTGTAGCGAATTCCTCCAACAAACTACCGAAGCGCTACAGCTCAATCCATGGATTATTAACCGGTTGCGTTCGCAGCGATACCCTTGATTACCAGGCAACATAACTTCAGCTCTGTGCACTTACAATCCAACAGAAGGGAGTAACTGCCTTACATCTTTACACGGTATCCCCCAAAAGGGAGGCGGACTCTGCACCCGAATTCCCACGATCCCAGGCACACATGTGACACCGGTTTCGGGAAGAATACCGTAATCATCCATTGAAAATCCAAAATTCATCCTCACACTCCGATACGCGGAAATTACAGGGTTAATCACCCTCCCAGAGCAAGGACAACTGGTCTAACGATCGCCAAGGCTTACCCAATCTCACCTCTGTGTGGAAAAACATTCTCCAAGACAACAAGAGATGGCACAGTCACCGTATAGCTGATGAAGGCCTCTGAGGTAATGAGAGGGAAAATCGCTCAATGATCACTTTTCTCATGGCCTGTTGACGAAGGCGTTAACGACAGGCCAATCACAACTTGGTAGCATCAACTGGTTGCACTAGCGTAAACCTCTTCCTAATCCCATTTTACTATGGTGAAGAAGTATATCCCACAATTAGAGGATGCCGTAAATAGACTTGTACAGGTCTTCCTTCATTTCAATTATCACTACAACAGAGCCACTTTTTGATAAGTCGCGAGTGGCAAGTTGAGACAGAACTTAAAATAAATGAATGCCGCACCCTTCAAGCGGTACCGTCGGAACCGCTTAGAAATCTCACAGAATGGGTTGTGCTTTAAAAGGACATTCATCGCATCTTGAGCGATACCTAAACACTCCCGCTTTCTGAAGGTGCACAGGGGCCCCGACCCACCCAGAACGCGACGCGACTTTTAGCTAGTTGTCTCGCCACGCAGCATGCCTAGTCAGGGATGTTGGCTAGTTGTCCCGCCACCTTCAACACCTCTTACTAATTTCCCTGTGATAGAACGACCATGATTAAGCTTCTAGCCAATCTCAGTTGTTCCTATATGGAACTAAACCTGCGAAGAATCGAAGTGGAAACTCGTACATTGCAGTCATCCATAGGCTGTATGGAATGCGCGGATGGGCGGTGCCACGCATTCCCAACCGCTGACTCACATTTTCCCCCACCTTCATGCTTTCTGACAAATCCTTCAAACACGAAAAAGAACCGTAGAAACATCAAAAAAAAAAACGACAATTTCTTTCAGTTTATAAACAAAAATAAGAAAAAATAGGATAAAAATTCGTTACAAAAACGACTTTCATACAACAACACTATCGAGTCTTCAAAATGTTAACTTTCTTGTTTCTTCTACAGATATACATTTACAAATGACACTATTAAAACGAGTTACTGATAAATGACGACGTTACGGTGCCCTGTGTGCCCATAAAACGAAAGATTAGTAAAATTACATATACAAAACAGCTACTATGAATACTTTACCTAAATTTGGCAACTAACCTCCGATATCCCGGGTAAACATAGACGACATATTAGCAATGAAAATCATCGGCAGCAACCATTGACATACAGGTACAAATGAAAAACCACAAAACGATGCGATCGATATTCATAAGGGACATATCATTAATCGATTCGAATTATCGATTAGAGGAGGAAAAGCACATCATCGTGTCACAACCTAATAAGAGAAAAGCAAAAAGAGAAAATAATCGATTGGGAACCCTTAATCAGTCAGTCATTGTTAGGGGTGAGGGGGGGGAGGGGGCTTACACAAGGACCATTCATGAATGCCGTGCTTAAATACCGGGACATCTACTGCTATACAAATGATAGTTATCGAACATTAAGGCAATATCTACATCACAGCTCGTCACCTAACCACATGTTATCTACATATTAAAGGGCGTTATGAATGACGCCAAATGCTTATATGATTTTGCTGATTTCCAAAAAAACTTTCTGAGTGAACAAAATCAATTGGAGATTGTTAAAACGCATATTCGAAAGAAAATATAACGATTAAGCAGTTAGAAGATCAAAATATTGTTGGACAACCCGACCAGTCGCCTTGTTCTTTCTTTTCCCAATACTCGCCGAGATACTTATGAATAAGTGTGCCTGTGATCTCATCCTGAGTTTTTTGGAACCATTTTGGCTGATATTCTTCGTACGACAGACCTGAAATTCAGCAATGAATTTTGAATTATATGACCTCCTGACTTTTGGGATGCCTGAAGCAACGGAACATTAAACAATGGAGGGAGGGAAGAATGAGGGGCGGTCCGGAATGACGTGAAGTTAGTTTCTGCGGGTCACTTAAACTTAAATGATCATTGACCGATTATAAATGATCATTTGCCACGAAATATTCCTTAACTGGCCACATAAGAGTTGAATCCTTCGTTAGTGGAACATAACGCCAATTTTTCCTTTTACTTCTTATTCCTCCTTTCCATAAAGCTTCCATTCAGTGCGCCCCGGGGCACGGATATATAACTTGAAGAATCAAGAAAACAGTCTCTTGTTGTTAATCAATCCCGTCTTGAGATGCGCCCTGCATTTGACTTCCATTTGGAATCGTAGCGACGTTTGAATGCGTATAAGGCTTATACAGGCCTAGATAAAGATTTGCAATGACCAGCCAATGTACAGTCAGTGCTTTTTATACTACCAAACGAGTCAGGCGCCAACTAACTGATCCTGGTTGATAAAGACATAGTTGGTTCGGGTGACGGTCAGTCCGGAATCTCATCCCCGGGACATGTATGTGATACAGCAACACTCGGCGCTACCCTGTTGCTTATTTGGAAAGCAAGAATTCGCAGGATGGGCATAGAATAAACAGAATATTCCTCCTAGCTCAATCGTTTGAGTCAATTGACTGTAACCAGTTTACATTTGCAGGTTTCATAAAAACAAATACGAGGGGCCGCGACAATAATTTTGGAAAACTTTAAAGTGAAAGTATACCATTCGAGAGCGCACCTTGTTGCATGGCTTTCTCTAGTTGTGCTTCACGTTTTCTCCGCACGGCTCGCTGTTTTTCTTCGAGCTCAAGCTTTTTACTATTAGCCTCGTCCCATCTGAAAACATAACGACACTCAAAACACTCAAAAAGTCGTCACGTCATACAAATCTCCTGAGATTAACCAAATTACATTGTAATAAGAAAAAACAAAAATTCCCACGCACTTGCCCTCTTCCATAAGCCGTTGATCTGGTCGTAGCCGGCTATCTGTTGGGGCTACTCCCGGTTCCGGCTCATTCAGCT